AAGATGGGCACGGATGTTAGCCCAGGGCCAGTCTTCCTCAGCAAAAAGAGGAGGATTGGCAGATGTTAGCACAGGGCTGATCTCCTCACAAAAAAAAGAAAAAAAAGAGGAGCGAGCCCCCATGAATGCAATTAGTGCCCTTATAAAGAGGCTCCAAAGGCTGGCCCTGTGGCAGAGTGGTTAAATTTGGCACGCTCCACTTGGGCAGCCCAGGTTCGCAGGTTCGGATCCGGGGTGCAGACCTACACCACTTGTCAGCCATGCTGTGGAGGCCACCCACATACAAAATAGAGGAAGATTGGCACAGATGTTGGCTCAGGGCGAATCTTCCTCACCAAAAAAAAAAAAAAGAGGCTCCAGAAAGATCCCTCGCCCCCTTCCACCTTGTGAGGACAGAGCGAGAAGGCAGAGGCTATGAACCAGAAACAAGGCCTTCACCAAAACTCGACCATGCTGGCGCCTTGATCTTGGACTTTCCAGCCTCTAGAGTGGAGAGAAATAAACTTCTGTTGTAGATAAATCTCCCAGTCTGTGGTATTGTTACAGCAGCTCAAAGGGACTAGGACAGGACGGTCTGGGGCAGCAGTAAGGCACAGGGAGTGGGGGAGGCCGACCTCTCCCTCTTGGGTTCCCCTTGGGGCGGGGAGCAGGAGGCCCCCTCTGGGGGTCCTGCCTGTTCCAATCCCGCCACACGGCTGCCGGTGGCTTCAGCACACGCTGAACACCGAGGGGGCCTGGCCTCGGTATTTCTCGTGGGCCGTTTTGAGGATGGGTATGAGGTTCTGGAAGGTCGGGCGGAATGAGGCCTTTTCCTCCCAGCAGTTCTTCATGAGGAGATAGATCTGGGGAAGGAGAAACTGGGGTGTGATGGCTGCTCTCTCCATGGTCCAGTGGGGGGGCAGCAGAAAAGACGGGGAGTCTCACCTCACAGGGACACTTCTCCGGCCGCGGCAGCCTCTCCCCTCGTTCCAGCAGCTCCGTGAGCCGCAGCACTGTCATCTGGCCCTGGGTGAGGCCTATGAGCTCGATGAATTTCTACAGAAGAAACAAGACAAGCTCTTTTCAAGAGGCAGGACTGCCTAAGTAGAGGTCAGAAGCTTGGAGACGGACTGCCGGGGTTCTAGTCCCCTCTGGTGCTTCCCAATTGCCTAACTTTGGGCTTAAGATTTCACCTCTCTGGGCCTTAGTTTTCTTCTCTGTAGAATGGGGTGATAGCATCATCTACCACTTGGGTTATTGTGAAAGAAAAACTAATATGCATAGAGCAAGTCTGATTCAGGTGTTTGCTGTTATTATTAAGTCTCTCAGCAAGTTGTTTTTGCCTGCCCAGAATCTTTCTTTCTTTTTTTTTTTTTTTTGCTGAGGAAGATTTGCCCGGAGCTAACATCTGTTGCCAATCTTCCTTTTTTTGCTAAGGAAGATTAGCGCTGAGCTAACATCTGTACCAATCTTCCTCTATTTTGTACGTGGGTTGCTGCCACAGCATGGCTGATGAGTAGTGTAGGTCCAGACCTGGGATCTGAACCCAGGAACCTGGGCCGCAGAAGCGGAGCTGCAGAACTTAACCACTACACAACCAGACGCCCTGAGAATCCTTTTTTTCTTCTTCTTAAAAGGCACTCTGATTGGCTTTAGGAATAAATCCATAACATACTCTTGGCTCCCGCCCCCAGCCCAGGCCTGGCCAATAATTGCAGCTGGTGGCTACACAGTGATTGGCTCCGTGGTGGGCACGTGAACCAAGCTGGGCCAATCAGACAGTGTCCTGAATTATGCTGGGAAGAAAAGGACCCTTGATCCCCTCAGTTGGGGGGCCACTGTTGCCACAACAGAGGAAAGTCCTGCCACCACAGAGAACAATAGAGCGGAGATGGAGAAAACGGGATTCTTGATGACATCTGAGGGTCCAGATCCAGCCCCGCTCCCAGTCTCCCCTGGAGTCTGCAAACCATGGAATAAGCTGTTCCTATTTGAGTGGGGTTTGTGTCACAGTTAAAGCCCCCTGCAGTGTAAGGGGCCCATTCTACAGATCCGGACGGCGAGGCTCAGGTGGGTTAAGCGCTTGCTGAGGTGGGGGAGATGGGAATTGAATGCATGCCTTTCTAGCTCCTCTAGGACCGGGTGGGGGGACCGGGTGGGGGGACCGGGGTGGCTCTCACCGAGGGGGGGCTCTCACCGAGGGGGGGCTCTGGCTGGAGTCACAGTAGGTCAGCAGCTCATACAGGGTGACCCCAAAGGACCAGACGTCGGATGCATAGTAGAACTTACACTCCCTCAGGCACTCCAGGGCATACCTAGGGGGAGGGGCATTCAGGGCGTGGGGCCAGACCAGTCTGGAGTCCAGACCTTCGGCTTAAGGACCCCTCTGGCCCCAGTTAGGGCCCCATCCGTAAGGGCGGGCAGTTTCACTGGGACCAGGCCCTGTCATCTGAGAACCCAGCATCCGTCTCCTCCACCCTGTCCGCTCCAGGTGACCCTGGCACCCCCCTCCGGCTGCGTCCTGCCCAGTCACCAGAACACGGGGCTGTCCCCATCCTCGCGCACGCGGTAGTACTCGTGGCCTTCAGGCACGGCCTTGGCCAGGCCAAAGTCCCCGATCTTGACCAGCTTGTCATTGTCCAGCAGCACGTTGCGCGCGGCCAGGTCTCTGTGGACGTAGTGCTGCGCGTGCAGATAAGCCATGCCCTGGGGGCGGGGCGCGTCAGGATCAGTGGGGCGGGGCGGGGCACGAGCTGTGGCCAGGACGGCTGGGGGACAGTCAGGTCAGGCTTGCGGGAGCCAGGCGCCAGAGTGGACAGGATGGCAGGTGGGGCGGAGCGAAAGGGAGCAGAGCCGGACAGCAAGGGCGCAGCCACAACAAACGATCCTGGGCAGGGGCGGGCGGATGGCGAGGGGCTGGGCTGCTGGGCGTGGCCAAGCGAACGAAGAGCGTCCCAGTAAGGAGACACTAAGCGAGCTGAGGGAAGGGCCGGGCCAGCAGAGGGGATGAGACAGCTCAGGCCAGGCCAAAGAGGAGGGGGCAGGTCCTGGGAGCAGGGGCGGGCCGGCCCACCTCGCAGATCTGCTGGGCGAAAAGCAGCAGCTGGGCCAGCCCGACGTTGTGCCGGGGCAGGTAGTCTCGGAGGCTGCCCAGGGGCACGTACTCCATGACGAGCTGCACCGACTTCTCGCCTGACGCGGGAGAGGGGCGGCCGGTGCGGGCGGTAGAGGCAGGTGCCGGGGGCCGCCCACCCTGAGCCCTGCCGTCCCCCCACCCCAAGGTGGGGAGGGACGGCCAAGACCCGCCCACACTAGGCCCAGGGCTCAGGTGGGAGGGACCCATCCTGAATCCCGTCCCCAAGAGACGGAGCTGACGGTGGCTCCTGCCCATCCTGGCCCCAGGAGAGCGCCCCCCGGACCGAAAGGAGGCGCCTGGCCGCGCCCACCCCGGCGCCTGCAAACTGTATCCTCTAGCCTGGACTGAGGGGCTCTCATTGGCCAGGCCCTGCTGGCCACGCCCGCCAAGCCACGCCCACGACATAGCCCCACCCACCGTGCCCTAGGCCCCGCCCACCTTGGTCCTCGCAGCAGCCCTTGTACTTGACGATGTGTTCGTGGTAGAGCGTGCGCAGGATGTCGATCTCCCGCCGCCAGCTGGTGCGGAGCTGGGGGTCGCAGTCCGCCTTGAGGGCCTTCACGGCCACCATCTCGCCAGTGCCGTCGTTGGTCGGGTCGTAGCAGTACAGGCTGACCTTGCCGAAGTGACCCTGGCCGGAGCGCGCCGGGTCAGCCCCACCCCCGCTCCCCAGGCCCCGCCTCCAGGCAGGTCTGTTTGGAAAATCCTGGGCCCCACCTACTCCGTGTTGGTGGGTCCCCTTGGAGCTCCCCCTTCAATTCCCCAGGGCCTCCCTTGCAGCTGAGGGTCTTCTGAGCCAGTCCCCACCCACCTCTCGTGAGAACCACCCTTAGACAGGACTTTCCTTAAGACCCAAACTCTTTCCCCCACCAGGCGGCCTTTCTAACCGCCCAGGCCCCGCCCCCGGCTCTCCAGGCCCCGCCCCCGGCTCTCCAGGCCCCGCCCTCACCTCGCCCAGATCCCGGATCTTTTTCAAATAGCGCTTGTGGAAAACAGTGGGGTCTGACACGAGCGAATCCGGGTTCACAGCCAAGACGTCAACAAGATCTGGAAGAGCCACAGTGGGTGAGGCCACACCCTGGCCCTTTCCCCGGCAGGCCCACCCTCGGGGGCCCAGAAAGCGGGCCACTGCTCTCCCAGCATCCGATCCCAGAGATAAGGGAACTTGTTTGGCAACAGCTGGAAAATTCCACTTCTTGTCCAAAATGCAGAGTTGGCAGCATCACAACTAACACCTGGGATGTTCTGAGATTGTGTCAAGCGTACAAACTTTTCAAGGAGAGAAAAAAATATCAAAAACAAAACAATTGCCAGGGTCAAATTCTTCCAAAGAATTTGTGGGTCTCCCCAAGCAAAATATTATGGAGAGCTCCGGGCACCCACGGCGCACACCCTGAGCCTCTGTACAGAGACCTTGGGTGCACCGTGCCTGTGTCAGCAGGGGTCCCAGCACTGGGAGGGGGGGCTCACTTTGGGGCTGCAGCCGAGTGAGGTCACGCAGGATAGTGCGGAAGGACGGCCGCTGGGCGGGCTCGTAGGTCAGGCACGGGCTGGTGAGCGTGGCCAGCTCCGGGCATGAGGGCTCGGGCAGCTGGTGCTGCGTCTGGTAGAAGCGCTCTTTCTGTGAGGGAGGGGACCTGAAAGTCAGTGCATCCCCTGCCAGTCCCCCCCACCAAGAGGCAGCCAAGCCCCCAGAGCAGCAAGGCTGGATGGCCCAGATCCTTGTTCTTATTGTTCCCGTTTCACAGATGACACAGCTGAGCCCCGGTGAAGGGAAACCGACTTGCCCGCCACCACAGAGCCAGGACTTAAACCCAAGTCAAGCAGATTCTGCTGCCCTGGAGCATCTCACACGTGGCCCTTCCAGCCCTGGCTTCCACCTGCCTCTGCTCCCAGAAGTTCCTGCCGACTGCAGCTCCCTGAATGCACACAAGCCTCTGGGCCTTTGCACATGCTGTGCCCTCCGCCTAGGCTGCCCTTCCTAGCCTGGGTCACTGGGGTATTTCTGCACTTGGATTAAAACCTCCTCTGGGAAGCTTTGCCTGACTCCACAACTGGGCCAGGGGTGTCCTCTGGGACCCCCACCCCCACAGCCTGTGTTTCCCCCATCACTGCCCTGGTCACTCTGCCTAAAAGGGAAGCATGTCACTTACTTGCTGTGTGCCACACACCCTTATGAGGTCATGACTACAGTTAATCCCAACTGACAGATGACCTGGAGCCCCAGAGATGACGTGACATGTGAAGCCACACGGCCAGAGGGTAGGCAGGTCTGGTCTCCTGGCAGGCGCCCATCCCCTTTGTGGGAAGGGACCAGGGGTTCCCCGGATGTACCTCGAAGGGGCCACGGCCCTGCAGGGGAGCCTCGCCATCGAAGCAGATCTCCAGGAGGGTGGCACCAAAACCCCACTTGTCAGCCGCCGTGCTTAGGCTGTTGGCTCCGCCGGACAGGCACTCGGGGGCCATCCAGGGGATCCGCTCCACCCGCTCTGGGGGCCAGGGTCAGAGGTCACTGAGGGTGAAAGGAGTGGGGGTAGCCCAGCCCCATGCCCAGCCCCACGGGGTCCTCACCCTCCCTGGAGAGGGCACCCAGGCCCACGCCGGGGTCACTCAGTTTGATGAAGGGGCTGGTGCCCTCCGCTAGCCCCAGCCGTGCCAGCAGGATATTCCGGCCACACACATTACCATGAACCAGGCTCTTGTCTTCCTGGGGGGATGGGGGGGTGGAGAGGGGGCGTGGCCACTGGGGGCTGTGGACCACGCCCCCACCCCATCCCATGTGGTCCCCGTGGGGACAGCCCATGTGAAAAAGACAATCATGGTCATTATGGGGATCCCAAAACACTGTCATCGTGACTGGGCAGCACTAGGTGCCCAGTGGGTCCTTCCTGTTCTCCCAGAGCTGGTGGTCCAGGCTCCTGGCCAGGGACAGAAGGCCAGAGGACCCCACTGCTGTCCTCAAACCCAGGCCAGGCACGCTGCTTCCCGAGGGCCTTTGCACTGGCTGTTCCCTCTGCCTGGAATGTGGTTGCCCCAGACACCATCCTGGCTCCCTCCCTCACCTCCAGGTCACCTTAGTGAGGCCTTCCCCAACCCATCAATTTAAAGCTTTATCTTCTCCCCAAACCAGCAACTCCTTATCTCTGCCACTTTTTCCCCATAGTTCTTACTCCTTTCTAACCTATTACATAATGGACTTAATTATTCTTTCTCGCTTGTCCCTCCCAACTGAAATGCCACCTCCCCAGGGACAGAGACCTCTGGCTGTTTTTCTCTGTTGTGTCCCCAGGGCCTAGGACAGAGCCTGGAACACAGGGGGTGCTCTGGAAACTGGGGTGACTGGACCAGAAAGGGCTGGGGATAAACAGCAAGAGAGAGGGACAGAGGTGACCGAGGCCAGGCCACACGGGGCCTCGGACACCAGGATGAGTGAGGTATTCTCAGGGGAGGTGGGAGCCACAGCTGGGTGTGAGCAGAGGAGGTTCATGGAACGATCCCCCGGGGCCAGTGAGTGGATTGAGGGATGTGTCGGGACCTCAACACACAATGCTGAGGCCGCCCTGGCCCTCCCCATGACCCAGGCCCCGCCCACAGGCCACATACCAGGTAGCTGAGGGCGCTGGCCAGCTGCTGGGCCACTGCCACCTTCCAGGCCAGGGGCACGTGGCCCCTCTCGCGCCGCAGCCACACATCCAGCGGCCCGTGCTCCACGTACTCCGTCACCATGATGTCTGCAAAGGCCCAGCCGCTGCAGGGGCCGCCCACCTGCTCCACCCCCCAGGGCGCCGGGGCAAGACGTGGGGGCTGGGACCGTGTCAGGGCAGGGGTGTGTGGGGAGGGCTCGGGAGTGACTCCACAGAGAGGAGAAATGCAGGACCGAGCGCAGGCTGAGGTGGGTGCGGGGGGAGGCAGATGGGAATGGTGGCATCTGGGTCCAGGGTAGACGCTGGGGCGTGAGTGACGTTCGGATCTCACAGGGTTGGGGTGCTCGTGGAGCGGGCAGCAGGGGGGGTCGGCGTGTGGGCCAGTGTGGGGGCACAGCAGGAGAGATGGACACCGGGGGTTGAGGGCGGCGGGGCTGCGGGCTGGCTGGGGTTGCCCTTACAAGGAGTTTGGAGGTGCACGCAGAGCAGGGGTAGAGCTTGGGGTAGAGCAGGGACTGAGGTCTGGGAGGACTGGGGTGCCCACCAGGGCTGGGGTCTGCATGGGGTCACGGTGCCGAGGGGGTCAGAGGGCAGATGGGGGCTGGGTTAGATGGAGCTTAGCATGCAGTTAGGGTGTAGGCGGAGAGTTGGGGTGCAGCCAGGGATCTGGGGTGCAGGTGAGGGTCCAGCTGTAGTCAGGGGCTGGGGTACAGGTCGAGGACAGTAGTCACAAACTGGGGGGCAGTCAGGGGTCAGGGTCTAAGTCAGGTTGAGGGTCGGGTATCAGTGGGGGTCGGCCTGTCAACGGGGGGCGGGGGGATGTGGCAGGGCCCACTCACTCTCGGAGCCGTGCACGCAGACGCCGTGCACGAAGGCCAGATGCACGTGCGAGACCTGGCTCATGAGGCTGGCCGTCTCGTAGAAGGCCTGTGGGGACGGGGCAGGTCAGGTGGCCGCAGACCCTGAGCCCTCACCCCGCGCGTGCCCGGGCCGCGCCCACTCACCAGGGCGATGTCATGGTGACTGGGGTCCAGCACCTTGAGGACCACTCGCAGCTGCTGGCCGCGGCCCCCACCGGGCGTGGGGGGGTCCCCGTCGTCCGCCTTGTCCTCCTCGGGGCCGGCGCCCCCCACTCGCAAGAGGCCCTCATACACGTTGGTCCTTGTGCCTTGGCCCAAATGGCACAGCTGCGGGGACGCGCAGGGGTCAGCTCCGCGACGACAGCTCCAGGCCGGCCTCCCCGCAGCCCCCGGGGCCCCGCCCCACACCTGGGTGACGTCGTCCTGGCAGATGCGGTGGAAGCTGAGCTGGCTGAGGTTGAGCAGCCGGGAGCTGGCCCGCGGCCCCCGCATGATGAGGAGGTTGGAGATCTCTGGGGGCGGGAGTGACGTCACGAGGGCTGGCGGGGGGTGGGGGGGACGCGGGCCCGCCCCGGCTCGCCCCGCCCCCAGCCTCGTACCTCCCGGCCGCGGCAGGCAGCAGCGGCGCAGGCAGAAGCAGGCGTCGCCGGCGCGCAGGGAGCAGCCCTGCAGGGCGGCCCGCAGCTCCCGCACGCTGGCGAAGGACCGGCCCCAGCCCTCCAGCGTGAAGGTCCCGGCCAGCAGCTCGATGGGGAACTTGCGCAGGCGCAGGCCCGTCGCGCCGGGGGCCTGCGGAGGGGGGCGGGGGGCGCTGAGCAGGGGTCCAGGCAGGGAGCGCGCCCAGCCCCAGCCCGGGACCCCCGCCCCGGGCCACCTGGTCACGCTGGGCCACCGTGAGGATGAGGCGGTTGAGGTGGCTGATGCTCCAGTGGATGAGGTAGAGGCCCTCCTCCGGCCGCAGCTTGGCCAGCACGAATGGCTCCCTGGGGCCGGGGGGACAAGGGGACACTGCTGGGCCCACACCTGGCAACAGGGACACGCAACACCTGCGCAGAGGGGCACCCTCCCAGCTGAGACAAATGTCAGACGCAGACGATTATGTGGGGACGCTGTGTCTGCACACACACGGATGTAACACTGTCACGCACGTGAAAACTCAGAGACACAGGTGCCAGAGCAGACACACACTCGTGCATAACGACTGTCAGACACCGTCGCTGACAGTGACACACACAGAGACAGGAAACAGGTGTCAGATGCCCAATGGGCACAGACCCAGCCACGGACAGAGCCACTCACGATGGATGGTCTGTCACACACCCAAGGACGATGATCAGACACACAAACGCGTACTCGGTGAACGTGGAAGCACAGAAGCGTTGACACCCCAGACCCAGAGGTGACAACCGTCATGAGCACAAACAGGCACTTCAAGGTGACAGCCTTGTGAGCCCACACAGCTACACATGTGGTGGCTCTCATGCTGTTACGGCCTGAATGCTGTGTCCCCCTCAAATTCACACGCTGAAGCCCTAGCCCCCAAGGTGATGGTGTGAGGAGGTGGGGCCTCTGGGAGGTGATTAGGTGATGAGGGTGGGGCCCTCATAGATGGGATTAGTGCTTTTAGAAAAGGGACCCCAGAGATCTCCCCCGCCCCTTTTTTTTTTTTTTTTTAAATTTTATTTATTTATTTTTTCCCCCAAAGTCCCAGTAGATAGTTGTATGTCATAGCTGCACATCCTTCCAGTTGCTGTATGTGGGACGCGGCCTCAGCATGGCCAGAGAAGCGGTGCGTCGGTGCGCGCCCGGGATGCGAACCCGGGCCGCCAGCAGCCGAGCGCGCGCACTTAACCGCCAAGCCACGAGGCCAGCCCTCCCTCGCCCCTTCTGCCATGTGAGGACACAGTGGCAAGACAGCCCTCTATGCACGAGGAGGCAGGCCCTCACCAGACACCAGATCTGCCAGTACCTTGAACTTGGACTTGCAGCCTCCAGAACTGCGAGAAATGAATGTCTGTTGTTGCTAAGCCACCCAGGCTGTGCTATTCTGTCACAGCAGCTCGAAAGAACCAAGACACATGCTGATGTGGCCCTGAGGGCCCTGTTTGGGTGGCACACCCCAGCCATGACCAGAGACACAGACACAGCCTTTTCGAGCTGAAATGGCCACTTTGCCCTCCTGTGGTGAAGGGACTAGGCTCATAGGGGTCAGACCTCTTAGACACCGCCAGGGGCCAATCCCAGTGTCACAGGTAGGACAGGGGACACCCAGGCACAGGGCCCATGGCCAGACAAGCTGACAGTCCCCACCTCTGACCCGGCAGCGGCAGGATGGCCACATGCGCATTTGATGAGCACATAAACACTGACAGCTCACATTCTCAGCCAAACGGAATCCAAACGGAACTGCTCAGACAGTGACCCTCAAATACGAGGACAGACCCACACCTGCAGGGGTGTAACCTCCCCACAGACATCTGGATGGCCACCAGCATTTATGCCCCACAAGAACCACCCATCCTGTCACGTGCAAAAACACGACATGATAATTTTAAATGCGGTCACTGGAGCAGTGACACAGCTGCACGCCGCGCGGGCTATTAAACATCCAGACAGGGCCTGCCCCATGGCTTAGCGGTTAAGTGCGCGCGCTCTGCTGCTGGCGGCCCGGGTTCGGATCCCGGGCGCGCACCGACGCACCACTTCTCCTGCCAGGCTGAGGCCGCGTTCCACATACAGCACTAGAAGGATGTGCAGCTATGACATACAACTATCTACTGGGGCTTTGGGGGAAAAAATAAATAAATAAAATTATTAAAAAAAAAAAACCATCCAGACAGGCATGGTGACAGTCTCAAACCCAGGGACGTTCAGTATGATATGCTGCCCATAGCATCACAGGCGCCCTCATTCCCCGCATAACCCCTGGTGTGCACACTCACAAGCATGCTCACACTTTCACATGTGCACTTATACCTGTGCACACACGGGTGAAGACATACATGCACATATACACTCACACACGTGCACACCGACACGAATGCACGCACAATGTGCTATGCATGAATACTTGCACACACATGCACACCGACTAATGCTTGCACACGTGTGTGCTCACACATGCACACACAGGTACACACTAAGACATGAATGCTTGCACACACACAGTGCACACACACACACACGTACACACGCTAAGACAAGAATGCACACAAACGTGCACACACCTCATTCAAGCCCCACGGCCTCCAGAGCTCACGGTCTAGCTGGCAGCCACCCCCTCGGCCAGTGCCACCCGCCTGCCCTCCCTGGCGCTCACAGCAGAGGCCCATGGATCCCGTCCTGGATGCTCATCACCAGCCGTGGAGGAGCCACCTCGTGGCACAGGTAGTGGCTCGAGTCAGCTGTCAGGCGGAAATAGCCATCCACCAGCGACACCAATGACAGGGCCACGGCCCGGGAAGGCAGGGTCAGCTCCTGCGGGCCGGGGGGCATGTCAGGAGGGCAACGCAGGCCGGAAGCGCCCCCCCACCCCCAGCTCCCAGCCCCGGGCCCCACCAGGCATCTGTTGTCCTGACAGTGGATGCTGACGTGGCGTTCCTTCAGCACCACGTGGGTGATGTCCTGGAAGTCACAGAAGTAGGTCCACGGAGCCTCCCGCGGCCTGTCTGCTGGCTGGTCGCCCACCTCTTGGGCCTTGGCTTTCTTCCCGGATGGGGCAGCATGGGGATTCCTGTTGCTGTCACCACCACCGCCACCGGGACCCTGGAAACCAGCATGTGGGGTGAGTGGATGGAGCAGGGCCATGCCTGTTTCGAGCCCCCCCACATTCACCCTGGGGAGAGGTGGGAGCTGGTGGGACTGGGCAACCTCCTCAGGCATCCCCCCTGAGTCCTGGTGTCATAGGTGAGATATGAGACCCACACCCAAGAGATACACATGCCGGAAGCCGGAACCTCGGGGAGGCAGGAAGAGGATCTGAGATGCCAGACAAAGGAGTTCCCCAAAGATGCAGACCCCGGAAATTAGGACCCCATGGGGCAGGCAGACAGAGGATGTTCCCCAAGAAACAGACCCAGGGGACAGACAGACGCCCCAGAGCCACGTGGGGAAAGGGCTCAGCACAGCCACCCTCAGAGGCCGAGGGTGAGCAGGAGCCCCCCGCCCAGCCCTACCTGGACCCCCAGAGGGGAAGAGGCACCCCGCTCACCTCTGTCTGTACCGGCCGCCACTGGATGCCGCCGGTGCCTGTCACTAGCACCTCATGGGAGGGGGGTCCGGCCGCAGCCTCGGGCCCGGGCTCCGGAGGGTCCTGCCCGCTGTCCCGGATGTAGCAGGGCGCCCCCTCGGCCTGGGCCAGCAGCTCCAGGTGGCACGCGGGCACGCGCTCCGTGCCGAAGCGCGGCGCCAGGCGCTCGAGCGTGGCCAGGTACTTGACCATGATGACCTGCTGGGACAGGCGGCCGGGCTGGAAGGCCCGCAGGAACCTGCGGAAGATGCTGCGCAGGCGCAGCCGCGTCAGCGCGTTGTGCTGCCGGATCTGCAGCCGGAAGGAGCGCGGGATGCAGTCCTGGAAGCTGCGGGGACCACGGGGGGCCGGTCAGAGCCTGGGCGCGGG